TTTGTGCATATGCCATGTTGTACGCTACATAGTCACTCGTAGGTCATGAATTATAGGTGAATGGGTTATGTTGAATGTTGTATAGCCATACATTCATGAATTATATGTGAATACGCCATGTTGTACGCCACATAGTCACGCATTGGTCATGCTGTACGTTGTATAGCTCTATACATGAATGATTCATGATACATTCACCGGCAAATATGGAGAGCAAATTCGGCACTTTACGTGCGAAATTCGAGCCTTGCATAATTTATGGTTACATATAATCAGGAGTGAATTTAAAACAAATCTGGTATGTAGTCCGACGGGAGCTACCGATAAATGGTTACGCTGTTATCTATCGGTAAATTAATTCGTTTGTTATTCACTCCCGATATAATATCAACACAATACTACCATCATATATATCATTATATCATATATATATATATATATATATATATATATATATATATATCATCAGGATTGTCATAATATAGACTATATTAGTCTATATTATAGTCTATAGTCTATATAAGTCTATATTAGTCTATATTATAGTCTATATAGTCTATATAAGTCAATATTATAGTCTATAGAGTCTATATAAGTCTATATTAGTCTATATTATAGTCTATAGTCTATATAAGTCTATATTAGTCTATATTATAGTCTATATAGTTTATATAAGTCAATATTATAGTCTATAGAGTTTATATAAGTCTATATTAGTCTATATTATAGTCTATAAAATGTATATAAGTCTATATGAGTCTATATTATGACACGCCTGATATAATCTCTATTACCATCGTCGGCAGGATTGATCCTGAGTCCGCAGTCGGAGCATATGAACCTCAGCTTCCGCTATGCGCTCAAGCTGGCCAACGTGAAGGAGGGTCGCCTCATGTTCGATCCCGTCGATGAATTCACGGACATCGACAACAGCTTCGACCTGGAGCGCGCCAGTGAGTGACAGACGACACTTCTACGTCGAAGAGCTATGCTATTGTTGTTATGGCAGAAACGCTCATTTCGAGACGTTAAATTTTCCGTAGATACTTCTACTTCGCAAAAAAGACTATTTTCGAGTAGTTTTTTGCATAACGATAACCATATATATACCATAATATATAGACCATAACTGCATAGTCCTAAACTGTTTTTCGCGTAACTGTATCATCATTTTTGGTGCTATATATTCGTGTAATCTAAACATGTTTTTTTGCTGGCATGTGGGCCTATGTCAGCTTCACTATCTGTGGTGGCTTGTGCTCGTAAACCTCACCCCCCCCCCCCGAAATCTTCATCCGCAGACGCCACAGCTAGGCTACTGTAAACATCAGTACAGCGTCCGACGGACTCCCAGCTTCCACTTAATTGCTCATTAATCGGCACCAATGAAGAGCGTGCACTTGCGCTAGTCATTTCAATAGCAATAGCAATAGCTAGTCACGCTCGTTCGAGTGCGCTGTATGTGATTAGTAGCGAGGCACAGATTAAACGCGATCGAGTGCTACTCTAGGCCTGTCATTTACTATGATTATCACCAGCGTCCGGCGCAGGTACTTCAAACACGAGCCGACTACTTACCCGCGGTGATATCAACGATGATGTAATAGTATCAGAGATCATCGTGATGTCATGGATCGTGGAGTATTACATTATCAATGATGTAATAATATCATGGATCATCATGATGTCATGGATCATGGAGTATTACGTTATCAATGATGTAATAATATCATGGATCATCATGATGTCATGGATCATGGAGTATTACATTATCAATGATGTAATAATCATCTTATAATATATAGTATATTATGGGATAGCTATGCTACGCTGCGACAGCGGTGGACCGGTTACCTAACGCCGGCCTTATGAAGGAATACGACATACGATGGAATGCATCAGCTTGTGGTATAAGAGATCAAAGCGCGATAATTTATTAATATTGATTATTGCCCTTCGATCTATCGACGCAGTCTGCTCGGAGCTGTCGAAGGGAATCTTCGTGTTGATTGGCGATACGACGACGGCGTCGCTTCCGACGGCTCAAGCTTTCACGGACATCTTCCACATGCCCATGCTCACGCCTAGCTTCCCTATGCCACACAAGTAAGCAAGGTCACATGTAGAGTGAGATAATAAAGATAATAATAACAATAAGGGATTAATATCTAAATATATATTCTCCTAATTGATTAATTAATTAACTCCCTATTAATCTCCTATATATATATATCAAGAGCGGATAATACCTCCGTAATGTAATGATTGATGACATCAATTATCAGCGCTCCAAGTGGTGACGGAAACCGATAGCCAAAATGCTTACCCGCGTGTAGGATGCTGGCAGAAGTGGATTCGAGGCGGCGTTTGGCATGTGGGAGGGGAGGTTTAGGAGCCGATATCTCCGCCTAGGAGTATCGTATTGACAAGCGGTTGGTCTTGTTTTAGAGAGCAAAGAATTCTGCTTAACCCTTACAAAAATTTAAGCAATCCACAAGCG